ACTTCCATAGGTACATAGTATATAGTTGTATAGCTTGTGAGTGATTTTACATCCCTGTTGAATGGCAGTTTGTATAATATTATGCATTATTTTTTTATAGATCCGATATGTTGCTACATTAAGTTATAAAATATGTAAGTTAACAGCTATCTGTTCAAAATCTAAGTATTAATGGATTCTAAGTTGTTGATGCATGTTTAGTTGAAAAATAATACCTATTTTTGATAAGATCTCGATTATGTACATCAGTAAACATAATACAACCTGTCATATGATTGACTTTTATTCTTTTGGTTTTTTTTTTTTTTTGCTAGTTATGCCATATATTTTAATTAACTATAATTTATTTTCGTGTCTTGTTATTATTGAAATTTTGAAAACAATATTTCAGACAAGTCCATAACATAAAAAATGTAGGAAAAAAGCACCTTTGTATTGGAGTGTTCGATATATAATTATATAATGTAAACACGGTACATGCCCGTTTATTTTATTATTTGACATCTGTGTTTAATACGCAGTCGAAAAAAAAAATATAATAAGTTTATAAGTATAAGTAATAAACACGTCCTAAATGGGTTATGTGAAATGCATTCGTTTATATATACAATAATTTATTATCACGGCACCAAAAAAATGCACTCAACGAGTAAACCGCGACACAAGTGTTCTCAGTTTAATGTCTCATTCCAGGCATCTATTTTCTCTTGGACAGGCGTTGACGACTGATTAATTTACTGTAATGAATCTAATAAAATTTAATTTATTTTTTTTATTTTTCACTCGTTAAACTTGTGTATTTCTGTACTTAATTGCAGCAATATTTTATTTTTATTTTTTGTTTTCTCATGTGTTTGTTGTAATATTTTATTAACACTTATTCTATAATGATACATACATACCTAGATCTATAGATAAATAATACGATTAGGTGATTAATAATTTACAGTTTATCTAACAAGTTATAAAGATTTAATTAAGTTAGTCGATTATTCTCTTATATTATACTATTATTGTAAGTACCTTCAAATTTCTATTTAAAATTGCAAAATATAAAGTCAGTTGACAAATTTTGATGTTTTTTTTTTTTTTTTTTATTCAATTTATGTAATATACAATGGAATTATTTAATTTGTAAACGCATTGGTTAAATAATCCTTAAAAAAAATGTAGTTGATTTTCAATTTTTATATATATATATATACATAAGCTAGTCCTGAATTAATCATTATTTTTCATTATTAAATATTTTTATAAAATGTTTTGATTTTTTATAAACAAATTATAATGAAATAATGGCAGTAGAAAAAAAAATTAACAAAAACTAAAAACTTGGTGAATTTAATTTCATTATTATAATACAACCACTATTCACTGCATGAAAAAAAAGAAAAAGGAAATTTATAAATTCAAAACTAATTAAAATTAAGTTTGATTAATTGATTAATTTTTTTTATTATAATATTAAAATACAATTAACAAATTAAAGTCTTACGTGGGTTAAACTTGGGGCAACATGTTTATTTTTAACTGTAACCGATTGAAAATGCCAATTGTTTTGATACTGTTTACAGTTGATTAATACTTATTTTTTGAACTCGAACTAAAATTTTAAAATAGAATTTTGTGAACATGAACCATCCACAGAGTTTAAAACTTATTATTTTGCTGGCTTAAATCACCTGTTTTTATATGCTAATGGTCAACACTTTTTGCCAACCGACGTCAGCAAAATGCGTCATTTGTTTAACAACATTATAAAACACACGTACACGCATATGCTTTAAGACAAATTACGTGAATGAAAAATTACCTGTAATGGTTAGCTTTATTTTTTATCGAATATGAGATTCTAATGTTTTTATAATTTCATCGGTTTTTTTTTTTTTTAAGTACTTTAAAAAAATAAACGGAATTTAATGTTGTTGAGACTTAGTACTATAATGTTTGGGAATTCCAGTTATTTTTTAATATTATAATTAACAAGTTCAAAAAAATATATTTTATGCTTAAAGAAAAGATATTTATTTATAAAAATGTATTTAATTTTTCTAAGATAATGTTGAATAAAATAATGTTAAGCAGGAGAAATCTTAAATTTGATTCGATTTGACGTTACCCACATGTTTTAGAAATTAAATAGAAATGGCTGAATAATTATCTTATAAGTTTTTATAATATTTACATAAATCAATATAAATTGTCTAATCTATGTTCCAATTAAATTATTTTGAGTCTTAAATTATGTATTGATTATTAATTTCCAAAGATAACGACGAAAGATTAAATAATAAGTTCATACAAAATATTTTACTAGGTACATAAAATCAAAAATTACGTTTGTAAGTTTGTAGTTACCTACAAAAGTAGGTTTACGTTTAGTTGTACTTAATAGTTTTTGCTAAACTAAAATTCGAAAACATCAACTATTCTATAATCACTATACTTATTATGAGTTAATTTTAATTGTTTTCACATAAATGTAAGAATCAATTCAATATTTATTAAATACTTAGGTACTAATAAATATAATTATTGATTACACTCGGTTCATGTTACAATTTTTGAACATCAGTAAGTTTTAAAAAACTTAATAACAATAAAAATATAAAAATTGTATGTTTATAAACCAAACTTAATAATTTTATAATATTTAAATTATATTGAAATTACATTTGAGTTGCGATTTTATTGACTTTGTATATGCCTGATTATGAATTTTTAATTTTAAATCGGTCGTAATTTACATATATAATAATACTCCAGGTTGAGCATTTGTTTATTAATGTATGAGTATTCACTATTTACTTATTCTTAATTTTTATTTAATTTTTAATTATTTAATGTTTTAAATATTTATTTGTCTTAAATTATAGTATTTTAAGATTTTTAACACTGACATACTCGTATTATAGAAAAATATTATGTCCTCATGTCAACACAGTTGTATTCACTTTTGAAATTTACTCATATTTTAATGTTATACTTTGGTCAAACCTTTCATAAAAAATATGAAATACTAATTTCAAGGAAACCACAAACCTTCTAGATATACACCCACGTAATATTTTTTTAAACTCTTTATTGTTAATTAAAATTTCACTTTTGAATTGAATACTCAAGGTGGACCTATATGTTATTATTAAAAATAATAAAGTTTAACCTATGTCGGTTAAAATTTAAAACTGTAATTCGAATAGTAGTACTATATACTTTGTTTAAAAATGGAAATAGTAAATTGTGGTATAAAATGTTCAAGTACTCTTATTTGTTGTATGTTTTTTTTTTTTTGTAGTAGAACTTTCAAGACACAATTTTTTGCAAATTAATTATAACTGAAATTAAATAAACCATATACAATAGAAACTAAATCAACCGTCACTATCAGAACAGAGACTATAACAGTTAATCGTTTCAAATTTTGCAATAAACATATATATTTTACAGCGTGTTTATTTTCAGAAATAAATAATCATTCACGCTACATATTACATACCATTTTAAACACTAATAAACTAGAACTAAAAAAAATAATCTATTATTTTCTTTTGTTTTTTTGACGCTCGAGTTTTTTTAGCTTCGTATTTGACGTTGACGTAACATTTGGTTACTCATCAGTCAGCGATTAAATGTAATTAAAAACAATTCAATTTGTTCGTCTACTTCACGTTTATCGCAAACGTTGATTATTAGAAAAAATTGTATTCACTTGATAGTCACCACAACGATTTTATCGCGATCGTCTAATTAACTATGGCGATGACGGATAACAAAGAGTGACGGTTAATCAAGTTTCAACTGAAATTAATATAATATTATTTTTCTAGATCAGTTAAACGAGAAATATATTAGTATTATTATGATGTGTTTTTTTTTTTGTCTATGTACACAATTTCGAACGGAAGAATTATTTCAATCATCACTGAAAAAGCTAAAATTAGAAAATAGGTTGGTACTTAAAAGGCACAATTTTAAGAATTTTGCTGAATTTAGTTTTCATCTTATTAATATTAATTGTATAGCGAATCGAAACACTTACTGATGATTTATAAGTTAGAACGTTAAAAATTCAACCTACCTTATTCAGAAATTTGGTTTTCTTAGTACCTATCAACTATCTTAAGAATATAGTATATAAACTAATCCATTCAACTATTCGAAAGTAATGTCATTCAACCTTTTCTGTATTTTACCTGGCCATGGACTTTTACCCGGCTTTGGATTATCGCACTTTTTTTTGCTTTTTTTTGGCTCAAAATTTTTATTCTCAATGATGATTATATTTAAGTTCAACTTTACATTTTTTCCTAATATTTTGAATTTCTTGCAACGTTTACAAATAAATATTTTATAGATATAAAAGTAATTATATTAATTTATTTATAAATTAAGTGTTTTCATTTATTTATTTATAATAGGATAAATTGAATTGACTTTAAAGATCAATTTTTATATGTAACCATTATTATGAATATAATATTTTCAATGTCATGAATTCTAAAATTAACATTAATTAAAAATAAACATTGTATGGTGGTATTTAATTTACTTTTTATAGTAACTCCAATAAATACTCTTAGTCACTCTTAATTACATAGGTAACGACTTGATAAAGTTCAAATAAATATCAATAAAATATCTAAAATATTATTATCTTGAAATACTTATTGTAATACTATATAAACATATAAGGGAAGAATGTAGAACCAGATTTGCAACGACAAGGCATGGCATTCAGTAGAGAAGAAGAAGATACAAATTATTTTAAATTTGTTGGAAGTGAGGATGTCAAAGACTCTGAATTATTATTATATCATGTAGATATAAGTAATCGTGGTAGTTGAACAAATTTCTAGAGATCAACCATCAGTGTTTTCTAGGGATGATGAGCCGACGTTGGGTATTATTATTACGATAAAGATATTATATTATGTATCTATGTATAACTATTATAATAATCTATCTATAACTGCGTTTATGGTATACATACACTTCTTGACATGCTTAAAGATCATGATCATGCACCCGAAGCATATAGGGCAACAGTTACAGATGTTTGAACCTGTATAAAAAAAAAATATAGTATATTCAACAGGTGATAAATCTTTGCAAATATTGCAAGAAGTAATTAGTAATATACCTTTAGTATTCAACCATATTTACCTCGTTCTGAAGTTGTACGGAAAATCATTAAACGTAAAAGAAAAACATCTTTGCCAGACGAACCAACAACTTTAGAAGATATTAATATTACTGAAATCCTATGAAATACTTATTTGACTTGTAAAAAATTATAAAATATTGATTTATCAACTAATTTGAAATTGAAGTACTTGTAAGAGCTAAATTTTGGATTATGAACGGGATTTCAAAACAGTTCCAAATATATTTTTACAAATGCACACTATTAATGCTTTAGTTGGAGGAATAAATTCGAGGATTCTTCCACTTGTTTATATTTTAATGTCAAGTAAAAATCGAAACATTTTGATCAAATCTGATTCAGATTGGCCATAACTATGGTTATGAATTTAATCCAGCATGTATAATTACTGATAACGAAAAAAGAGCAATTAATACAATAAAAATATATTTCCAGAGAGTGTCCAAATAGAGTGTTTTTTTTTCATTTGATACAAAATGTTTGGAGAAAAATTCATTCGTATAGATTGGTTACTTAATATGGTACTGATGAACATTTTAGTTTACAATTATGCTATATTCCTGCATTGGTATTTTTGCAATCAAATTTAATATTTTCAGCATTTAGTGAAATAAACTGTATAAACTAATCGAGATTTATAACTGGTTTGACGAAACTTATGTAAATTGAAAAATCCGTCGAACATTTAGAAATGGAGCGGTGTCTCGATCTCCACCCTTACTTTCACCAGAATTTTGATTAGCAAGTCATAACAACAAATTAAATGTACCTCGAACTCAAAACAAAGTAGAATCATGACACAAATGTTGGAAAACTTTAATTGGATCGGAATATTAAAGCTTTTTATATATTATTTCAGAAATAAAAAAAAGAACAGCAGAACACAATAGATTAGTAATAGTGTAGTAACATATAATTTATTTGGCATTATATGTATTCAATTTATAATAATTACATGTAGTGTTTTAGGTCAAATTGAATTAATAAAGTGAACCAATGCTTCAAAAATATACAAAATATAGTGATTACAAGAAACGGTTAAATAATATTATTAATAATAAATTTAATAGGATCACCATAAATGTTCTGTAAGGTACAGTTTATAATATAACGTTTTAAATGTATTTTTTTTTTTTTTAATTATTAAGTTGAATATTTTTTAAACGATTATAATAATAATAAAAAATATAAATAATAAATTGTAATTTAGTAGTACATTTTTTATTTTTATATATTAAAAGATACAAAATTATAATAATTATATACTTTAGATACCCTGACGTCGTGATCTTGTTTTCCTAATGCATAGTAACCAACTGATAACGACCGCTGCAATCGACAGGCTGTTTTTGGCATACTAATTTACTACTAAATTGTTGCGGTTTTATGCTGTAGAGTGTATGCCATAAGTTACATAAATAAGATACATATTTTTATACGTAGTATATTTCAATTTTTAATGTTATACTTAGTCACCTAGTCACTAGGTTTATTAGCTTAGGAATCATCAACCCACTAAAAATGCTGAAGGAGCAATTGCTCCAATATAATACATTGCAACTAAAATGAAATTAATAAATATGAATGTTTAATGATTTGCAACTATTTTCATAATGAGTAAATTTAGGATAGGTTATACATTTTACGGAAAATATTTTAAGATATCTAATATATAATATTTTAAATATCTAAGGAAATAAATTTTACTAATCCCAAATATTGCTATTGAGTTTAATAGAAATGAACTTATTTCAATTTACTGTTCAATTTAACTTCTAAAATGAATTCATCGAATTAATCGCATGATTTGGTACTTGTTTTTTATTAATTATTCAATGTTCTTAGGCATCAAAAAACATTTAAAAAATACCCATTCAAATTTATTTTATTTGGTGGGAAATATATTTTATTACGTATTTATAACGAATATAAAATTAAAAATATTAAAACTACACAGTGACAAAAATTGTAGTAAACCAGCGTCTAACAATTAAATAATATTATAATTAAAATTAATTTTCAAATATTTTACTATATTATTACGGGATTAAACAATTAATAATAATTTATCTTAACTCAAATATAAGTATCAAACAAAAAATACTAATGTTTTAGAAATATTTTTCATCACTAAATTTTTAAAATTATAATCGAATCTAATTTTATGATACTCAACACATATTTATCTTTGAATGGCAAGCATAAAAAATCACAATTTATAGGAAAAAATACTAATAACGTCAAATATTTCACCGTTTCCGTGCTTAATCTTTGAAATAGTAACTATAGGTACAATGAGAGCAAAATTATTAAGGCAAATGATTAGAAAAATATTTATTTGAAAGTAATAAACTATAGGTACCTACTCTATACTATTAAATTTAAGAAAACCTATTAAATAAATATTAACTTTCTATACAGGTATACACAGTTTTGAGGGTAACAATTTTATACTAGTATTGCATAATAAGTGTTTTATATGATAGCTAAAAGTCTATGACTATTAATAATTTAGGAAATGATTTCAAATTTTATTTTATTACGATGTTAAAAGTATATGCAGAAACTTCTTGCGTTGTATATTTATTAGGTACAATTTTATAATTAATTAACGATAAAACAATGTATGAGTATATCAGAGTAGAAACTTCCCGGTCGGTTTGTCCGATGAACTTGATACATATGTAACACTAGTTTCTGTCAAACTGGCAGAAGGGGTGAGGTAAATCCTTCTATATTATTTTTTTTATAAATATAAATGGATAGTAAGTCTTGTATTTATATTTTTTCTGATAATAAAATGAATAGGGTTGGTACATTTTCACATAATTTATCTGTTGAATACACATATATATTATTTTCCAGGTTCGTATAATTATGAGAAGTATATGAAAATTATACAGGTATTACACCGCTTAGTGATATAAATGTGTATATCTATTTTATATTGAATTTATTTATTAAGATTTGATAATTTAAAGTTTGTTATATTCATAAACAGAATTTTTTTAAATTATATTTTCAATTTTAATGCTGAAATTGTAAAATATAAATCACAACCCCCTGCTCCACAACAAAATCATTCGACCACCTCATTATTACACATAAACATATGTAAAACAATGGTATGATATCTTGCACGCACGAGAAGACTAATAATTAGTTTATCAATTATTTCTTCCGATAATAATAAACGTATGCAATCGACAACCTTATAAGCTCGAATGTTATAAAACTATAAAGAAATGAAAATGCCCTATATACGTCCTAAAAAGTTTCAAAATAAGCATTATAATATGCCATAGAAGTTGAAAAATAGCAAAAACCAAAATTATTTAATTTAAAACAATTTTTTCGTGTTGACGATCTAAAAAAATTAAATTTATTAAATAATTAACAATATGGATTAATATATTTAAAAAAATATGAGGAGAGGATTATTTTTCTGTTCACATTATTTTCTTTTAAAATTTAAATTTTAATTACTTAACTATTTAAAAACTCAAGAAATCAAATTAAATACACACCAGTAAAAAAAAATAGTATCAAAACTGGAAGGATAGCGTTATAAGACTAAAATGTTAAAAATATGCGAACATGATGTATGAAATTTTAGATTTTAAGTATTTTTTAGAACAAATGCACAGCTTACTCTACAATTTTTATCAGTATTCTGTATTAATTAGTATATATGTATAACATATATGACCTCGTATGACCTTATCTAACTCCTACAAAAATATTTTGGCCAATAAAATGGATGATGGTAAAATATTAGGATTCGGGAGCATATTATGTTATCGTGAGAAATTGGAATAAATCGACTTCCCCAACCCATGAATACAACTGTTAGGAGTAACTTAGATTATATTACATTACACTATTATGGTAAATTGCCCCACAGGGTTTCGGTGCGAAAAAGAATATTTAAGTGTACATATTAGTGGTAGACTAGATGCATTAGCGGTGAAACAACTCTAATCACCTACACGCTCTTTTATATTTCACAAAGATCGGTTCGTTTCCTGGTTATACCGAAGCTAATTATTGTGCCCATTTATAATAATAATCTTAATACACTTGTGTTTACGATTATTTGCGTGCCATTGTATACGTACTCGTTCCAACTTCCAAGCTCGTTCCGTTGGAAACGTTTCCAGTAAATTAACCACTTATAACTCTGGTTTATTTTGGTTATCCGGTACATTCTCGACAGCTGGTCTTCAAATTTTTTGTCGTCGAACATGTTCTACAGAATTCAAATATATGCATACGTTAAAATTATTTTTCATTGAAAATAAGATCTATAGCGAAAGCGATGTATTTATAATAAAATTAAACTTTATCTTGTAAAATATTATTACCTATTTAGCCTTTTTTCCCTTAATTTTCTCTAAATCATATTCTACAATTTTATAGTTCAAACAATTGTATTTTTCTCTTTCCATTTTTTTTTTCAAATCATTATCAATTATTGATTTAAAAATCTACACATAATTCGTTTAAAACTTCACTACCTACCATATATCTAGTTCTATATTTATATCTAGTTTTTTGTGTTTTGATTCGAAGTAATTATACATTATCATTACAAGATCGTATTTATTATTTAAAAGTATCTTTTAATTCAAATAGCAATTTGTAACGCGTTATTAGTTTATTAAAGTGTAGTCACAGAACACCCATGGTGCCTCCTTTAAATACTCGTATTTTGTGTTAAACTATTTATGTCGTTCATTATTATTGAATTAATATAAAAAATAAAGTAGACATGTTAAAGAGTTTACGAGACGGTATTTACAAAATTTTAAATTTAATAGTTAAATTATCAAATTTTAAAACGATGTTTTATCAATGAAAAATCTTGATTTAATTTTAATACTATATTTT